TCGGGTTCCACGTCTGAAATTTTGCCAATGAGTTTGTCTTCAATTATACTTCAGGCGATCGTTTTCTTCAGGCGTTCAAATATTTATAGATTGAGCATGAGAAGGAAGAAACTCTCACTTGTAACATTGTTACGCATTGATAAACGATTGTAAGTAACACTGGGCCTATTCTAAACTGAAATTGAGGACAATCACTGATCTGTGAAATGCCAGACGCCCATAGAATTAGAAAGATTTCGACAGGGTTTTCTTGACGAATCAACTAGTTGGAGGTGCAACAAGTTTGCTAACCTCTTGAAAATAAATTCATACCGTTATCTACCGTGATCAAGCCTCCAGTTAAGGTGAATTTTAAATTTGAGAAAGTAGTCTTTATGAAATGTAAATGAGAAAATATATAAGTTTGGAACAAGATGATCTTCCAGTTTGCGCAACAAAAATGTAAGCAGTCTTGTCTCATAAGGCCATCGAATATCACTAGCAGAAGAGGGATAATGTTAAAACTCTCTTGATTGAGGTGTTCCCAAAAGGACTATTACCGACGGGGATGGCTTCTGGTGGGACTCTCTATTTAAACTTATGGCACGGTAGGCTTTATTTATACTTATTCTTCGTTTATAATTCCGTTCGAGTTACGGATAAACTCCGTAAAGTCACGATCAAGTAATTAAATAACCCAAAGCCGATTAAAATCGCAAGTTACATCAATGCAATGTATTTTGAGCCCTCAAGAGATCCTCACTGACGTATTGGTTTAACTTTTATTAAAATGATTTTGGGGACACGATCAGTCATTTCCCCCTGAATACACAGACTTTATACTGATGAAACGTAACGTTTAAAAAACAATGCTTTCGGTAGAAGCTTCTTTTTTGTCTTTTTTTTTTAAGCGAGGACAGTTATGTATGCCTGTGTTTCTTTACATTAGTGTATAACTTTAGGTATATACAGATGACATCTAGAGAAGTTGTCTTCTGATTACATGCACAACACCGCGCATGCGCATATGTTTACTATGTATTCTTTCAAAAACTTCTGGTTGCTTTCGCAAGTGTCCAAAATATTTCTTTTTTGGTGAAACTAATATAAATAAAATTTACCTTGCAAATTATTTTCCTTCTTTAGGCATAAAGAATTCAGAGAAACAAAGATTCCTCGCTTCAATGTTTTATGTCTCGTCTGTGTCTCTCTGGGAGCGAGCTGATACGATTACTTGCGTATGGTGGGGCTATGAAGATATCAAGTGTTTCCTGAAACTGCGCAAGACACAGCCTTAATATGCGTCAGGTATCTACATTTGAAAAAGCCAACTTAAGAAAGAACAAATGAAATATGTAAACGAAGAAAAATTAAGAAAAATAGTCAAGAAAAATAATTGAAATAGCAGAGGAGAGACAAAAAAAAAAGAAAAAAAAGAGTCGTTTTGGAAAAGGACATTAAGGGAAGAGACACGACATTGTATAGTCTTTAAATAACAAAAGAGAAAGAAGGTCACATAAAGCTGTAATTGCTTGATGCAAGAATGTGTATCGGGAATAAAAGCAGAGGACGCGTTTGCCATTACACATACTGCAAATTTTATTCCCATTTGTTACACACAGTTTTCATATATATATATATATATATATATATATATATATATATATATATATATATATATATATATATATATATATATATATCTGCACACTTACATACACAAACACACATATATATATAAATATGATATATATGTTTATATGTGCGTGTGTAGGTAGGTATGTACATATATATTTACTTTTGTTGCGCACAAACACACCTATATATATATATATATATATATATAGATATATATATATATATATATATATATATATATATATATAGAGAGAGAGAGAGATTATATTATATATATATATATATATATATATATATATATATATATAGGTTTCTATTCATTTAAAGACTGCTGAGCTTCAAACTCACACCTGACCTCAAGTGAAACTCGTGCATGCGATACATTGCTAAGTATATAGGTAAAAACAACGGCTCCCTGTGGCGCTATAGTGAGTACCCGAGTGCTCCTGATATCATCTACCTTTTCAAGAGATCAGATCAAAAATGGAGCACTGTTATCATTTGGACGGAAGCTGGCCAGACCTTACTCTTCAATCTTGACAGAATTTCAAAGCGTCTCCGAGCCCTTGTGCGTAACGAATTATTCTCCATCTTCAAACTATCTCTCATTGGCGGGATGCGGCATGCCACTCGCTACACTATAGCAATTTCCACGGAAAGTGCTCAAACGAACTACAGACCCTGATCCCGCCGACGTAAACTTTCTCAGTAAAAACACGCCATGTCATTTATATAATTCCACCGGGAGAATTAGGTTCCACTCGTGCGGATTTTTCCAACGGACCATTGAACTGTGAAAATTACTTCGACTGGGTGTTTTCCCGATCACTACAATCCGAACCTGTTCAAAGCTTGGGTTAACCGTTACTTTCAACACATATACGCACAGATGTCCTCCACACGTAATCCTCTAGATCAAAAGGCCAACGGGGTTGTAAAGGTGAACCTCGCTGTAAATATATATATATATATATATATATATATATATATATATATAT